CAGAAATATACAGACAATCTAAATTCAATCTTTACCCATCCCCATGTGTATATAGTTTTGAATAATGTTTCTTGCATGTATCTGTTTCAAATCTGGCATGTTGAACACTAAAGCTTTTGCCAATTACTGTGAAACGAATATCTATGAATCTGTGGAGACACCTAAATAAATTCTCGAAAATTTTCAAATAAAATAATGTCATACCAGTTGTGACTGTCAATAATTCAATGAATAAAGTAAGTCGGTCTATAAAGAGATTTACAAAGACCTTCATCGGGTATCAAATTCTTACACGAATAAATACAATGATTACCATCTACATGCCTATTTCATAGCGTCGAAAGGAACATTATAATATTGAAATAACAAGATGGAAATAAAGCTTGTTAAATCTACGTAATTACTTAATTTTGCAAAGAAAGCCTGACTCGAGATTTTAATTTCCAATCACGGTTTCAGATCGATTATAGATTGTGAACACATGCGATGTGATTCTAAACACATTGCTTAGATGGGTAATTCTGTCACGTACATATAAATGTTCTGCATATTTAGTTGACATTGCGTCGAAGAAATCAGTCATAATAATTTAAAACATCAGGAGTCAAGTATGTTTCTCGCTTCAACAAAATTAATTTATTCAGGACTTTTCCATATAGCTGTCCCATAAACTCTACAGGCATAACAAATTGACATTCATGCACCATGGCTAAGTAAATTAGCTTCTCTTCAGGAACTTATGTTCGCTGTTTAACACATTTTCTACAAAGATTCACATACATATTAGGGCCGTCCACTTCTTTTGTTGCATTTGGTTTGGTTATCGGTATCTAAGAGATTATCGATGACGGTATTATTGCCCGGATTGAGTAATTAATAACATAAAATATGCCATCCATAAATGGAATAACAAAGATCTGAGCAACGATATAGAATATTGGGCAACATCAGCCTCATCCTAAAATATCGTAATTTAATCAATTACATAAATAAATTGAAATTGAACATTATATTTGGACGATAAACTTACTCCTAACAATAAAATTACGAGATTTAGAGGAAATGCAATTAGCTGTTTTGTTATATCGATGCAACAAATTTTATCATAGAACTGAATAAGCCATTGGACCTCATTTGCTCCGCATCACGGCATAATCTAGTTGCTTCAAGTGCTATTAAAGTCATCGTTGGATGTAGGTCAGTGTCGCCGTATTTTATTTCTTCTTCTCTTTATTTCTCAAGTTTCTTCCTACTGAACAACCGTAACCTGATTATCTGTTCTTTTCAATGTGGCCCGCACATATGGAGCTTTTTTTCTCCTTCAAATAAATAAAACGCACCCTATAAATATTTGTCAGGTTTATTCTTTTCTGGTGTCGAACAATATTTCCACTATTGCTTTGTCAGATATTGCTTTATCGTAACTCATTGGGTTAAGGTTAACATGGTCAGTCCTCAGTATCATGCATTCCACACTACCATCATACAATTATTGTTTTTCTAGCTGCTAGCCGATTCATTACTTGCACCTTGACATAACAAGACTTCTTGATCTCATTGTTAAACTAATGCGTCATACTTGGAACTAAAATCACTAGGGAACAATATCAGTCAATAGGCGTTCCTAATGCTAACACAACGATACTCGTTTGAAAACAATTCACGCTTAATTACACAATTTAATTACTTAACGTGTGCTAACTACATTACTTGCTGAATGGCAATTCATTTCGAGAAGTTTCCAATTATAAAAAATCAGTTCACAGCATACCCAATTCATATTATTTAATAGAGATAAACTCATATTCACTCAGTTTTTATCAGAAGTAATGCATTAAATCCTTAGAATATATGAGTCATATAACATTCGTTATAAATGCATACAAACCATTAACTTCTAAACTCGCGAAAATTGATGTCTGAATTTAAAACGAACATGTTCAACAAATAATCACAAACTTATATCAAGGAATATATTGTACGTGGTAAAGCCAAACCTTATGTTTTTCAGAAACTAACTCCCTTTTTTTGAAGCTAATTTTCTAATTTCTGAGTCATCTATTTTCCAGATACCGGTCACTTAAACAACTTAACGAGAATAGTACTTTCTAAGGATCTTGGAGTTAACTTCTTGGCCTCCCACAAAAACATAGACTGACTAATTTCGCGATGGAGAATACTTACACCTTGAATTTCGAATGGTAAACCCTCACCTCTAGGTTAGCTTATCCAATCAGGATTAACTTTATCTAAGCACAAAACATTTAAAACTTCCATCGAAGTTAGAATTATCCTCTTCTTTGCCACATATATTAATAGCTAGTATAACAAAACCTTATTTTATCACACTGATATAACAAAACCCCAAATCATATATGGATTGTCTCTATTTTGAGTTTCCCCTATTTAACTCCACGTTAAAGTCACCTTTTATATTTTTTAACCCGTTATCCTAGTGTGTCCTAAGTCAATCAGATCATGCCACCAAACAGAGTATATCCCATCATTCACAGGCAGCGATTCATTGCAAGCCTAGACAAGACGTCAAAATTAATTGTTATTAATTGTTAATATATATATATATATATATATATATATATATATATATATATATATATATATATATGTGTGTGTGTGTGTGTGTTTGTGTGTATGTATGTACATGTGCATATAGCATATATGCTGGAATCAGTAACAGGCGATTAGGACAACATGAGAGGATTGCAATTTTATGATTGCGTGTAAGGGCATATGCTTGCACTTTAATTTGATTTAACATCAGCACATGTAGAATAATTGCACACATGATTGGATCATGACTGTTAAAAGTGGTAGAATATTATTGTAGTTGATTAAAAAGTCTGCTGAACGATAACGTATGCAAACATTTAGCATCCGAATGGTGTAATAAATAAAGATTTGCAACAGAACAGAGAATGATGAGGTCTACGAATTCTCGTGCTTCGTTGTCACACAAATGTTGCATGCATGATGTTGCCTATATTTAATTTAATTACTTGTGTGTTGGTTTTAGATTTTTATTTTATTTTTTATTTCATTACATGTTATTGCAATGAATTTATTCACTGGATTTGACATTTTTCTGTTTTAGCCAGATTAAAACGCAGTAGTGTTGCTACATTGTATTTTTTAACTGACTTAGTTCCTGACATTGGTTCAAAATTCGTAAACACATAGTGATAAACAGTGCTGTAACCAAGGTTATTCTTGGCTTGCCTCAGCTGTGATGTAAACAACGCTTTTATATTTTAATTTTTATTTTTGAATCTTATAGTAAGATTCGTTAAGTACAATCGAACCCGTATAACCTACATGCTAACTGACATAATAGTTTATTGTGTTTTTCGAATTAAGTGAATACGTGATATAAATTTGAGCTAAAAGAAAACGTTTTTATTGTTTTAAGTCAGTCGTATTTCATACCTTTTGTTTCTAAAATGTACTTTGTGTTGTGACCAGATGAATTGAAATTATTATTCGAAATAATTTATTTTGCCTGGAAATATAAGTGTTTTTCATCAGTATTCTTGGACAAAGATTTTTATTGGAAATTATGTGGATTTTTAAAGCTAGAATTTTATTCTCTATTCATAAAATTCTATACGGAACTGTTGACACATCAGTAAAATACTACATACATATGACGTCAACGTCCTCCATTTGGAACTTGATCGGGATTCTAACTGATTCGTTTAGAACATTTTAGTTATATGACTTAAATTATTTATTAATTTTATGATTAATTTTTGGATTAGATTCAGAAACAGAAAGTCGTTTTTCATAATGTTTACCTGTTTTCAAGGGTAATACGTATTTTTGTTAAAGTTTGCAAAGCTTGCTGACTTCACTTGTTTCTTTGTTACTTCTGTACGAGCCAGCAAGTAACAATGGTAAAAAGGAAACGTCTCTTCATATACTGAACTGGGGTAAGGAAATTAGAGGAATAATTATATGAGAAAAGAAACGTAGCCGTTCCGTTCTTCCAAACTAGATGGATACATTATGTTTTAGAATTTGAATGTATACGTATCGGTTTAGTCTTAGAAAACAGCCCTGCAATCATCTGTGATATAGACCATATTGCAGGAGATAAAGTGTTTTATATGGCGTAGGAATAAGTCGAAGTCAATTGACCATGATGTATTCATACGCCATATTAAATAGGTTCGTTCCACAGACTCTGTATAGAACATGAACGTGTTTTGTACTTATTAAATAACCCTCTTTTTAATAGTATATCTTTACAGTGCGGGAGAACGACATTGGTAGTTACAAACATATCAAAAGTAGATTATGTGAAATTATATGATATACAGTTATTGATGTGTTTTGCATTCTCTAAGTCAAGCCGAAATTAAAACATTGTTCCTTTTTGACACTAATTGTTGATAGGAATCGAAATGTATGTGCTAAAACTGAACGAACAAGAAATTATGAACATGCAGAAAGTCCTATCTTGCAACCTTTGCCAGTGCATTGTACTATCACTCTGCAAGGACACTGTTTTCACTGTAAAGTTTATATCCCAGTCCTATCTTGCATCCTTTGCCAGTGCATTGTCCTATCACTCTGCAAGGACACTGTTTTCATTGTAAAGTTTATATCCCAGATATTGTTTTTGTAATGCGAGTAGTGGACATAACAATAATAACACTTAAAGTAGTAGTAATTATAGGTGAGTGATAATATCAGACATGAATGAACTCTTTAATTGAAAACGTGATGGCTGTAAACATATTCTAATTTGTTTAATTTAAGTTGTCCTTAATCTAGTCTTTTTCTTTTGTAAACCGTTTGGTTTTATCAAGATTATAACTCTTTCCTGGTGTTGGAACTCAGCGCTAAAGGTGAATATGTCTTTTGTGTAGCTTTTCCTATCCTATTAAAGTGTAGAATTTTTTTTAAAGTGCGAGTTAAGGATATGTCAAGTTTAGTAATCTGAAGTAGTAGCGTCTTGACTCTTACACACTAACCGCTTCGGTGGCCTAATGGTTAGAGCGTCCGCATCGGATGCGGAAGGTCGTAGGTTTCATCCCCGGTCGAGTCATACCAAAGACTTACAAAAATTGTACTAACAGCTGCCTCGCGTGACGCTCAGCATTAAGAGGTCAGTGTTAGGACTGGTCGGCCTGGTGTTAGGATAATGTGAATGTGTGGGACATCATGCTACATGATGCCCCAGTGCTAGACATCACTACAATGTTACATGCTTGATAAATTAGTAGTTGATTTGTTTGGATGCTGGATAATCGTCCCTAATGCATTTTATTGCCATAAATGTATTTATTTAATATAATATGTATCCAAATATAACATGTGTCATAATTCAAATGTGTATATATCTTAAGTCAATGCCATCAATATATTTATGCAATGCAATAGGTATCCAAATATAAAATGTGTCACAATTCAGAAGTGTATGTATCCTATATCAATACCATAAAATTATTCTTTCAATAGCATTCGATACTGTAAATCTCTAAATCAATACCATAACTATACTAATTCAAGACGATAATTACGATAATTATATTTAATCAATGCGAAAAGATTCGCTATACAATAAATATCATAGTTCAGTGACATAGCATTATATATACCATTATCTATATACCATTATCTATATACCATTATCTATCTATCTATCTATCTATCTATCTATCTATCTATCTATCTATCTATCTATCTATATATATATATATATATATATAACAGAGACGTCGCGGGTTCGAACCCAGGTCGAGTCATATCAAAGACATTACAAAACGGTACTAACAGCTGCCTCGCTTGGCGCTCAGCATTGAAAGGTTAGTGTTAGGGCTGGTCGGCCTGGTATCAGGATAATGTGACTGGGTGGGACATCATGCTACATGTCTGTGGCATGATGTTCTAGTGCTAGACATCACTATAAACTGACACAGTGCAGACATGGTAGGGATATGTCTAAAAAAATGTTAAAGTTACGTTAAAAAGTCTTAAGGTTCACAGTCACACTAATTCAGTATAATTAGTATTCAATAACTGCCTCACTGTAGAATCTGTCATTTTTATATGGATTCTTTGTGAATATAACTGAAAAACGGAAACATTATATGTAAATGTATTTAATAACTTTGGCTTCTGTACGAATACAGGAGATTTTTGACTGAACACTGTCCGTTTTTACTTTGACAAACTTAGATCTTAGCTGACGCTTCGGTTTCATCTTGCTTCCTTCAGTATCCACATTGATAATTCAGTGTCAGCATTCATTTGCTGTGTTAACTGACAAAAGTTATGGAAAATTTCCTTTTCTAAATAATATCAAATCAAACATTTCTAGTGCATTAAATGTGAAATCAACTGCAAAATCATCAAGTGAAAGTTGCAAGTCTTGAATTGTTTGGAATTAATGATAAAAATGGAATATCCCCGGGTGAGTAGCGGAAGGCAGTAATTATGTACTTAAAATTACTGAGTAGACAAGCAAGTGTGCAAAGTGCTGACAATGACTGGCAACTGTTTTATTTCTGAAATCGGATATAAAATTATTTGCCACTAAGTAAACATATATCTAGACATGCCACCAGCTCTAGGGGCGTACATCTTGAAAGCGTCAAAAGAACAACTTTGGACATAGATGAATATCAATGTGTAAAGATCTGGAAGTCTATTTCGCACTGCAGATGAAAAGGCGTGTTTGATGCAGAGCACACTGTTTGTTTCAGCACACTAAAGCAAAATTCATCGTGGAAACTCCCCCATAAATTATTAATTTTCACTTCATGTGCCATTGTTTGGATAGTTTAATGACTTTAAAAAATAAATTAAAAAAATAGTTTAGCCACGGATAATTCTCCATCGTTTTTCTATTAACATTTCAGGTGTACTAGCGGTAATTATTTGTGACATGTTGAATGATAACAAGAGGAACGACTGAGAATTAATTTTCCTTTGAACGAAGTGACGTGGAAGATAGCGTGGGCGAAAGATTAATCGTCGTTGAATGAAAATTGGTTTTCAGTGAGTCATTTTTTAATAAATTAAAACAGTTTCAAAATCGATATTTTAAATTTTAACATTTAGTTCAGCCTTTAGCAGTATTTTTAGTGTGCGAAAATAAAAAAAATAATCAAATGGTATACATGTATTACATGTTTAAGTGTTTAAGGAAACGTCTCTAACGTCAAAATGTGTCACCGATAAAAATATGTTGATACAATTATGTATACATTAAAACGAATTAGCTTCTTTTGATCGTCATAGCGTGTCTGCATGTCAGTAAGGCAATATAGAACCTGTGACTTTATCATATGTAGATATAATTTAAACAAATTTATCTTTTTTCATCACCTTTTCAACTTTGGTTTTATGCTTCCCTTTACTTGCAGAGTTGTACTCTTCAAATAGTGATCGTTTTCAATACAAGAAAAACGAACCATTATAAACCAAATGTCCACGAAAATATACATGCTTTAAAGCATTGATCTTGCTGTTTGAAATTAAACTTAAAGTACCTTGACAATTTGGAACACCAAATTAACTTTGTCCCTGACGCTTTTGCTGATATTTTTATGTAAATCCTTATTTAAAAAAAAAACGAATTTTACAATAATCAAAGTGAAGTGATGTATAAATTCCTTGTTGTCAGCAGTCCTGGGTATTCGGTGTTACTTGATTACTTTGCGTGATGCTTACTTTATATTTTCTACCAGCTCTGATGCACACTTTACATATTCCAAAACGCTACGAAGAAAGGTCACTCACACTTACACCAACGTCACACTTACACAAACGTCACACTTACACGAACGTCACACTTACACGAACGTCACACTTACACGAACGAAGCTCTGACTGAATATTCCTCGTCTGATCATGTTGACGTAAGAACTAGAAATTCTGAATCCATCTTTTCTAAATATTTTTGACGTACGAACTGGAATGTAAGAGTTCATTTCCAAATATTTGTTTGACGTATAAACTAGAAGGTGTGAGTTCGTTTTTAAATAGTTGCTTGACGTAGGAAAGGGAATGTATGAGTTTATTTCTAAATATTTGCTGGACGTATAAACTGGAAGGCATGAGTTCATTTCTAAATACTTGTTTGGCGTAGGACTGGAAGGTATGAGTTCGTTTCTAAATATCTATTTACGTAGGAACTGGATGGAATGAGTTTGATTATAAATATATTTTTGACATAGAAAATGAAGGTAGTGAGTCCTTCGTTTCTAAGTGTTTGACATAGGAACTGGAAAGTGTGAGTTGTTGTTTTTTTCCAAAATATTTGTTGGACGGTGAAGACGGTCCATATTGAGAACAACCTGCTTAGACGTACTGACTGATTGTCTGTATCGATTTCATTCAATAGAAGATCAATCCAATTTGCAGAAAGAGATGCACAATAAAAATTAAATCTTATCATAGGCAATGATTTGGAAACAACAAATTTGTATCAAAGGTGACTTAAAATGATATTCTAAACTAATGGAAAAGGAAAACTAGAAGCCAATCATCTACATTACTGAGACTTTATTATAATTCTAATTACGGATAAGTATTGCCTAGCAATTTAGTATATGCGGACTAATTTTATCTTTGATATCAAAGGTTGCATTTTTTTCAGTACTGAAATACCATTGATGCAGAAGTGGCATGTAACATACCACCAATGTAAATCATCTGACCTGTTGAGTTGGTATCCACTTTTCAATGTAACTGGCTTGTGTAACATTATGTCGCACTGTTTGCCTCTGTTGCACATATCCAATGATATCCCTTACAAGGACACCAGCATCAATGTAATTATTCAGTTTTAACACCTCATGGTATCCTATGTCGTTCGTGTACTAAGGTTTCAACATTGTTCATCACTTACACAATCATATTAGTAGTTCAAAGGAGAGATCTAGTCTGGGGATAAGAAAAGATGATGTTCACCCAATTTTCCCAACACCCGCAACAAAATCATGGCGAAACAAACAAAATTTTTCCTAAAGATTGTTTTACAGTTATAGGTTAAAATTAAACCATAGAAACGCTTAAATGCTTAAGCTTTTGAGAACTTCACTCCCTGAGCCTCTACAGTTCTCCATCACATCAGTCCTCTCAGCTAACGATATGAAACGGTTTCTGAATCCGCCCCTTGTTTTAGGATTATAAGCAGACACATAATGAAAGATAGAATCCAAATTAATCACTTCATTGCGAGCATGTCAGCATTGCTTAACTGTATAACATAATCTTAAACGTATGAAATGAAAATATTAACACTTTCAGAGGTTTAATTAATATATTTTCCTTCATGACGATCGGGGAGAGCATCTTTTGAATCGTAACCCATCTTTAAATTGCAGATTAAAAATACCATTAACCATACCTGTGAATAGGTGATTATTCAGTCTCAACATACAACTTATTTATTTAAGTTCTGAAAATTCATGTGTAAAAAATGCAACTGTCAAAGACTAAGAACAAGTTCACATGTTTTCATGTTTTCTTTAGAATAGGTTGCATTCCATTATTGTATATAGTTAATTGTTAACGGCGTCGTCCTTTCAAGTTATCAAGGCAAGCAAAATATATCTTGCCGTGCCAAAGTAATAATCTGCTCTCATCTTACCTTTTTCTATTTCATTTGCTAAATCAGCTGGCTGAGTACCAAACTTGTGTTTCTTTCATTAATTATAAAGTTGTCTGCGCGCATGTTGTCAAACTATGTAAATATTTCGATCTCTGTACAGGCAGCTATAACTGGAATCGAAAGACCTCATTGTCTTATGCTTTCAAGACAACAACATGACCTAGTCCATCAATATAAGTAAAGAATTCCTGTTAAGGTCAATTGCGTATGTGACGTGTACATGATGACCACATTGTGATGCATTTGTATGCAATGTAATTGTGCTGACAGACTGGATTATACGATGCAACAAATTAAAAGACAACAGAAACATAAATCGATTCATACATACATACATGCATGCATGCATGCATGCATGCATACATACATACATGCATGCATGCATGCATGCATGCATGCATTCATACATACATACATACGTACATACATACATACA